GTGGAGTCTCCTTCTCTGGAGATATTCCAGCCCCGCCTGGACAAGGTCCTCTGCAGCCTGCTGTGGGTGACCCTGCTTGGGCAGGAGGGTTGGACTGGGTGACCCACAGAGGTCCCTTCCAACCCCTACTATTCTGTGATTCTGTGATTCTGTGATTCCACAATGGTACTTTTACTTTGAAGTTATTTATGTAATTACTCCTGGAAGCAGCTCAGGATCTGGAATCCTTTCTCTTTGCCTTCTCTTTTTTTTCATGGAACGACACAGCTGGAGGTGTTCTGCAACCGTTAGCTTTTGCTTTAGACGCAGAGGTAGGAGATCCCCCATGGCAGGGGGCTGGGGCGCGGTGAGGTCCCTTCCAGCCCAAACCCGTCCGTGATGCCGCGGCGTGTGGCTGCGTGTAGCCGTGCGCCGAAACGGGCAGGGTCCGTGTCCCACGCGAGCAGACTGCCTGGGGGAAGTCCTTCTGAACTTCTGACGTAGTTAAAATCAGAATCCAGCTACCGATGGCTGTAAAACAGACGGTTTGCATGGTGCGCTGATAATGTCTAAGAATATTGTGAATTTCTTTTCGGTCACGTTCTTCTGTCCTCTTCCCCAGGCCTTGAAACAGCAGCAGCAAAAGCAGCAGCAGCAGCAATGCAGAGCAGGCATGCCCGTCTCGTCCAGCCAGCACGTCCTGCTGTCAAGGCAGCCGCTGCCTCCACCCCGGCGAAACCCGGTACGTGGCCGGGACTCCTGCGCGGGCTGTTACTGTCGCGTCGCTTTGACGTGCCCTGTGTTGCTCCTGGGGGAGGAGAGAAGACAGTGCTCTTTTCATAGGGCATTCTTTTTGTTGCTGAAATAGTCCAGCTTCTGTTTGCCCGGCTTTGATTTTATCAGGAGTGCATTCGGGTAAGAACAGATCTAGCGTGGACCTTCCCGTGCCAGTGCCTGGTTAAACAGCTGCTTTGCGAGACGACGTCTGCCCCTCAGCTGCCTGGGCGCGTGCTCAGGTCCTGCTCACGGCTCAGCACGTCAGGGGGTGTTTCTTCTTGTGTTGATTTCTTTCACAGAATCACAGCCTCACAGCATGGTGGGGTTGGCAGGGACCTCTGTGGGTCACCCAGCCCAACCTCCTGCCCAAGCAGGGTCACCCAGAGCAGGGGGCACAGCACTGCGGCCAGGCGGGGCTGGGATATCTCCAGAGAAGGAGACTCCACAGCCCCTCTGGGCAGCCTGGGCCAGGGCTCCGGCACCCTCAGAGGGAAGAAGTTCTTCCTCATGTTCAGTGTTCAGCTGCAGTTGGCTGGTCTGGTTAAGAAGTTTCCTGGAGCCATCAGAAGCTGGGCCCAGGAGCACCCTTGAGAGCTCACCTAGTCCAGGTCGGTTCCTCAGGGCTGGGTCTGTGGTGCGTTCCCGATGGATGTTTGCTTCGGTCTGTTCTCAGAGATGGCATTGGTGCAAAGACCAAGAACTCCCAGCAAGTCTTGCCCTTCCTGCTTTGGTAACGTTATCCTTAAAATGTTGTTCTTAGCCTCTAGTCAGGATCTTTTCTGGCTTCAAACCCAAGATTTGCTGTCCTGTCCGCCGTGGACACAGAGTGCAGGTGATTTGATTTCTTCTCCCTGCTGCCTTTTACATAACTGGAGGTGTTTCCTCATCTCACGCTGATTTTCTTTAGCATAAAATTCTTTCTGTGTTTTAGTGTGTTTGTTTATTCTCCCTTTCCAAATAGCTCTAAACAAATCCAAACCCAAACTAGACCGATCTGTCCTGCTTGCTTTCCCCTCTACACTGCCCTGGGGAGGCCCCATCTGCAGTGCTATGTTCAGTGCTGGGCTCCCCAGTTCAAGAAAGATGAGGAGCTGCTGGAGAGAGTCCAGCACAGGGCTGCGAGGATGAGGAGGGGACTGGAGCATCTCCCCTATGAGGAGAGGCTGAGGGAGCTGGGCTTGTTCAGCCTG